ATTAAATTTTAAACTGTAGGATAAGGCTGGTTCTTGCGATAAAAAGATGTCCCCAACTTTAAAAGACAGTAAGGAAAAAGAAGAAATTAAATAAAAAGACTATAAATATTATTATTATCTAATAAAATGTATTTATTCAATAAATTTAAAGTTCATAAATATTATTAACGATGAAAAATACTTCAACTTCAACCGTACCAGCATCATGCAAAAAAGTTACTTCAATTCAATTTGTTCCGATGGGAAATAATTTTCTCATATGTATTACTTCTGTTTAGATCTTTAAAATATTTATAAAATCCTCTTACAATGCCTAAAAGCGATTGCGGAACAGTACGTATTATTGGTAACAATTATTTTTCTTCTGAGAATAGAAGCATAATTGTTATGATGATTCTACAAGTTATGCTTTTGAATTTTCTTTTCATTTTTGATCGATTTCTATTTGTTCTTTTTACACCTACAAACATACATACCTACTTTATTATTTTCCATCGTTTCACAAATATAAAAGACATTTATAAATCACAGCAGTGGTTCTCAATTCACTAACAGTGGTAGGTCTTTAAATGAATTGAATTGTCAACTGCACCGTGACTTGAAAGTTAAAAATCACTGATATATAAACCCTTGGCAACAACATTGTTTATTTGTTTCTCTTTTTTTAAGAAAAAAAGCATCAGATTCACAATGGTGTTAAAGCTGCTTTCACGAAAATAAGAGCTTTATTTTGTGTCTCACAAGCATTTGAACATGTGACTTTAATTCTGGTTTGATGTGACATATTGATGTTTATTTTATAGACTCTTGATTCAATTACTTCGCATATTCAACTTCTTTCTACTTTCTGATACTCTTCATTTTTCTCTGGATGTTTTCAACCCAGCGTTGTGCCTTCTCATTTGACTCTAGCGAACTTAAAAACAGCAATTGAAGTTTTACGAATAATTTCTAAATTAATGGTGCGATCTATTTGCAGAGGAACATCGCAAACAGAGCCATTTCCAGATTTTAATGATTCAATAATTAATTTACGAGTTGATGAAGACGATGAAAATGAAAGAAGGAAATGAAAAATAAATTACGCTTGATATGTATTTGTGCTTTTATTTATGATTTCTCTTCTCCCAAATCCTTCTCCTTATTTTTTAAGGGCGTTGTCAAGCATAAACATTAAAATAAATTCGCGTTTTTTTTTTGGTTTGTTTTCACACGTTTAAATATGAAGTCATTTAATGATTTTGGCATTCATTTGACGAAGGAGAACAGGAGCTCCCATGCGGACAATTTTTAATCAAAGTCATTGTGAAAGAAGCAAAATAACGGCAGAATGATTTTATTAAGTACGCTTCATTTTAATAATTTTCCAGTCGTTTTCTCAACCTCCACCCTCCTTCAGTCTTTCTTTCTTTAACCCACACCTTTTGGTCTTTTCCATTCTTCTCTCATTAAAATTTGCCGCTTTAAGCTTTATCCACAGAAACGGATGTCTTGTAAATACGCGAACGTTAGTTGATTTAATTAAAAAATCTTTTGAATTTGAATTAAGTTTCACAAACAATTAAAAAGCTTGTCGCGCTGTCAGAAAATTTATCGCAAATATTTTTCATCGGAATTACTTTTAGACCCATAATACATTTTATGAAAATTTGTTTAATGTCTCTATCGAGATTTTAATTTCTTTCTATTAACTCAGTCGTTTATTGCGACTACCCGTCAGCAAAGCTTTTCGGCTTATATAATTTATTGTATGGCTGGGCGGAAACTGTGACGAAATGTTGTTAAAATGGAATGGATTTAATTATTTATCTACTTTTGATTCTGCTATCAAAAATTTACTTTAAAAGAAATTATTTTAATTGGAAAATTGTGTAAACAACTTATATATGATCCAATGAATATCCAAAGAGACAATTTTCTTTACCAATAGATACATAAGTATTATATAAGAATTCACAAAACAAATTCCTATTTACCCAGGCGTTTACGATCCATTGTATTCAGATGAATATTTTTTTTAGATTCTCATAAAAATGACGGCTCAATGAAACCGATTTATATCATCTTTCTATTAATATTTTGCCCAAGGGAACAGTAGCAGGGCTTTCATCGATTGACGCCAAGATCCTTCAAAGCTCAAGTTGAGCTTGGATTATTTATTAATTAAAAGTTTCTGCATCTTTGTTGTTTGAAATCCCTGAGGGAATATTTTTAAAAACTTTCCGGTGTTTTCAAAAAAGAAAAACAAAATTTCTTAATAACACCCAGACGGAACAATATTTATTCATTTTATTTTCCACTTATGAATGTTTTTGAATTCCCAACCCTGTAAATTATACCGGGACACAGACTATGAATGGAAAAATGAATAAAATAATATTTATTGCCAGAACCTAATTGCCAATTATATTATAAATTGAAATTTTTCTTCTCGTTGTTGATACATTCTCAAGCACGATATATTTATACTTATACATATTTGCATCAACCGTCAGTCCCATTCCATATTAAAATTGATATCAATGTCAATTTGTTTGAAGATTTTGAATTGAAAATGAAAAGTGGGTGGATGAAATATTTTGGGCGACGTTTTATGAAAAGCTTTTAAATGTTATTGCTCAATTTACGGCATATTTTGTTGTGGCGTTTTATACAATGATAAAATGGAATAAAAACAATAATTTTAGAGGAGATAACAACATACTATAAATTATAACGCATTGAAGGTAGTAGGGTGAGTCGCTGCAGAGCATCTAGTATGATCATAGTTGGCTACTTTATATTGCAGTTTATGTATCATAAACAAAACATTTTCGTACCATATGATATCTTTACACCTGAAGCATAAAAATAGATATTTTAGTAAGAAATTTTTTTCCAACTATGTCACATGTCGTCCTAGATATTATTTTGAATTGAATTTTATTTAGCATTTGAAATGTCATGCTTGAAATAGAAGACACAAGAGTGAAATCAACTTCACATCATTTGACTGTAAATGAGATTTTCCTCAATCGAGCACGTAATAAACTCTCCATGACAATCATTTCTCGACTGTTCTCGTTCAATTTTTCTTACAGCCTTTCCAAATCTCTTCCGCAAATGTGCTCGTCTTTGCCCAACCAATTCGATGTGTAGATTGGATCAAAGAATTCTTGGAGAATATTAAATGAAAGCTTACAGACTTTGGCAGTTTGCCACATTTATGCCCTTTATTTAGTTGGGATTTGGCAAGGATTTTATCGCCTTGAAAAAATAAAAAGAATAAGAAAATCGAGACGAATCAGTGATTTTGTTTGTTGTTTATCTTCTTATTCTTTTGTGTTGCTGCTGAATATAATAATAATAACAATCAAAATAATGATATCTATGATGATGATTGATTTTTTCCAGCCGTGTCTGGAAGCTTGCTGCTTGCTTTCAGCGGAGAAGAAAAAATTATTTATTTTTTCGGACGAAGGTCTGAATAAATGAATGAATAAATCACGACCTTTAGTGAATTTGAATGAAAAGTTTACAAAAGCAAGTCCTACCCGACCGACATTAGAAGGTAGCGTTAAAATGCTCGAACGTTGAATTAAATTTATGCTACGGAAAGAAAAATTCCTCTGAGCGGTAACTACTGATTTGAACTTCATTTAAGCCTCACTTCTGAATGAAAGCACGCAATAAAGTATAATCAAGCGAGAGCATTTTTTTTTTAATACTTTAGATTTGGAGAATTGAATTAAAAATTATGACTTTCCAAACAAAGAATTTTTTTCCAGTAAGGTAAAATTGAGAAGATTTTTATTTGTATGTAGCTCGAGCACGAAAAGGATTCTGAGTGCATTGAAAACAAAGTTGACGATATGACAAAAAAAGTATCATGAAAAATGGTGCAAATACTGAGTCATCATTACATTTGACCCCTTTTCCTTATTGCTGAAAAACTTCCAGTAGAAGGCACGATTTCGGTAACAATTTTTTACCTTTTCATTTCCGTTTAAACCCTTCATTGACATCATTTCAATTTGACAATAAATGAAAAATCAAAATTCAGAGCAATGAATGGAAAAAGTAAATCATGCGAATTCTCATGGATTTAAAAGCACTCATGGCGATTTTTTGCGACATAATTTATTAATATTTTCAGAAGTAGACGTGATAATAATTATAGGAACGTAATTTGTATATGAAGCATAAAAATTGACAGCAATTTAGAAGATAATCCATAAAATTTGCATTTAAATAACAGTACAAACGAGAATACAAATCATTGCCTTTTTAAATCAACATAAATAAACACAAACTCAACATTAATGCTAAACGAATATAAAAACATATTCATGTGAATGCTTCAAACCAAAGAGTGGCAAGAGAAAGTATTTCGAAAGGAAAATTGGGATTATGAGAGAACTTAACAATTCAAAGTCAGCGAGATGGAATCAAAGCTGGAGATTTTCCTTTTTCCTTCTCGCTGACTTCACTTTTTATCCATCCTCCAATTCCACCATCAGCTACAACACAAATGTGTTTTTCATGAATGTTACTGATGGTGTGAGCAAAACTTTTGTTTCATTCTTCATGAAATAACGAAACACACGAAATACCAAAATTATCGTGAGAAACTCTTCAGTTTCAAGTTTATTCACAACCATTGAAATTTTCCCAAGAATTTCCTATTAACGTGCTTTTCAGTGTTGTGTTTCTAGGTATTTATATATTTCCGTAAAAAGCTCATTCAATTTATTTTAAACAGAGTAAATGGACATCTGCTAGTCTTTAAATACCACTTAGAATTGCTTAAAATTCATTCTGAAAATAAAGAGAAAACGGAAAAAGAAAGTTTCGCTTTTTCAGCATAGTATGGATTATAGAAATATTCTTCCCTAAAACCACAAACAAAATTTTGTTGGAAGTACCTACTGATGAAATTATGTCTTCGTTCCTCTCGCTATTAGCTGAGATTATGTTGTTGTGGAATTTTAATATTCATTTTCCAGCAATTTTCTCTCTAAATGTTTATAAGAAACAGCTAGCAACCACATGAAGATGATATTTCCTGAAGAATGGCTGCACTTACCTTATCTTCCTTTTCCGAGTGTTGATTGTTTACTGTTTTCCTCACACAGTGTAAAATAATGAAGCTGGGAAAGCAAGGTACACATCATATCAGAAAAAAATTCGTAATGTTTTTAAGAATCTGAATATTTAATTGCAGCATAAGACATTCAATTATCTTATAGAACGTTTCCAACGTTGGTAAAAATTTCTTAATTTCATATAATGCAATTCTTCGTATTTTTTCCCGTTCTTTTCTCATTCTTCTATGTCTATAATTTGTTTTACTTGAAATAAAAACATTTTTAATTAAAACGAGAAATAAAAAATTTCCGAAAAAAAGACAAAAAAAAATTTTTCAAGAAGCAAATTCAGCATCACAGCTTAGACGTAAAACGTCATTTGCAAACTCATCCTTAAGCAGCAATTTACTGGAAATAAATCTGTGGATGAAAAAGAAAAACAAGCTCGTTGAAAACATAAGAAGCACAAAAAGACGGTGTAAAACTGAGAAAAAATGTGGAGAAGAAAACGTTGAATGAATTATAAAACATGAAACTTTGTTCTTTGCGTCTTTTTTACTAAATTTTTTCGAAGCTTTCATCTTCATGCTACGTCTTAAAAAAAAGACAGAGAAACTGATCCATTAGGGATGATAAGCTAAGTTAAAGTGAATTTAAAGCTTCGTAAAATGTACTTTAATAAACCTTTTTTTTACACATATGTATACGACCTTTGTTGTTACATGAACGGTATCGACAATGGTTGCTATGAGTGTAACTTTTTATTCACAGTAAATTTTATTTTTAACATGTTTCATTTCATGTGCTTCCAGAAATATTCTTTGATTGATGTTTTTCATAAAGATAAAAAAGATTCGGTTTTGTTTGCATTCTTTGTGTTCATAAAAACTTAGGAATTGAATATTGTCATACTGGCTGCTGCGATTCATTTCATTTAGACAAAATTTATGAATACGAGGCATGAATTGGTTCAATAAATGAACTTTGATAATAAAACTTCTATGCTTCAAAAGAATGAAAATCAATAAATGAATAGCTGTAAAACATGCATAAAAAATGCTTAGACAAAAATAAAAATAAAATTCAAATGTATTTTCCATTTCTAAACCAAACCCCATGCTTATGTAGACATGTGTGTATGCAAAAACAAAGTTTCAAAAGTGAATCAAACCAAACTTTTTCTTTTATTTTCTTAAAAATCATTTCTAGATGTTAATGTTAAAATTTTTATTCTAAATTCTTCTATTCAGATTCAACATAAAAAGTTTATCATTAAAATTCAACATTTAATTTCCAAAGTGTCCTTTGCGACAGAAATCTCTTCCCAATTTGAGTTGAACCTCACAATATAGAATAAACTAAATTTATATCCGTTTAGGGAGATGGTCGCTGCTCATGGTAATAAAGTATTCTAATGATATCTGGTTAAGATGGTCTAGGTCTATGTTTCTTTGGAATGATTCATGAATAAGGTGAAAGCTTTTATGAAAAGCTTGAATCATTATTTATTTAAAATTTAAAAACGTTTTTAAAACTTGAATTTTAATCTTTATTGTTATCTAATCATATTTAAATGTTCATCTTTGATTTTATTTCATATTATGACACCACTAAACATCATTTATAAACATTCCATAATTTTTTACTTAATTTTCTCTTTATTAAGCTTGAATTCTCAAAGCTGAGCGGTTGAATAGATTTGTTCTGAGAACAATTGAGAAGCGTCTTTCACAAATTTCTCGTGGCTTAAACACATAAGATCCCTCAGGGCTCTAGAGGGATGAATTGAGATGCTTAAGCTTACCAAATTATGCAAATTTTGCTTTCTTTTCTATCAAATTCTCTTCTCTCGCAATTTATATTTTTCTTTTCCTTTTCGTAGGCGGTGGCTGGTTTATGAAAGGCGAGAAGAGAAAGCTTCTCTCGCATATCTATATCAATGAAGAAAAGGAAAATTTATGTTTATATATGAAAATATTTTATATTTATTGACAAGAATCTCATATTGGGATTTTTCTCTCAAAATGGAAAAATCAATCTGCTTAATAAGTATTCTTAGACCTATACAATTATTTAATCAATTTCACTATACATCATCAAAATAAACTTATGTAGGTATTTATGTATAAATATAAATATATTTACGAAATTCAATTTCGCATTTCGTCATCCTCCAACGCTTATACAATATCTAAGTGACAAATGGCATCTTTTTCAAAAATTGACATTCATATAAAATTTTTCTTTCTAATTTCACATTTTTACGATATGAGCGACGACTTGATAAACTGCAAGTAAAACTCGAGAGATTTTTCTTCTCCCTTTATTTGCCTTAATTTCCGTTCAGTAACCTTAAGGAATCATATTTTCTTTTTGTGTATTTTTCTTATAAAATAATTGTACAAATATTTTGGTTCATTGGGGAACATTTTCTTCTTTTTTATATTTCTTTATATTCTCTTCACTCTTTTTCTCGACCTAATATTTGAGTAGGTTTCAAGGAAGAATAAAGGCGAATTTATTCTCATCATGTCTAGAAACCCTTACAAGCGAGACGTTAAATTCTATACTCGCCTGTAGAGTCGACAAAATCTTTCAAAAAAAGTGCTGCAGCACGTTTTGTGTTTCATTTTTGACAGCGGAAAAATCGCCATTTTAATTTCATTTCTTTGCTAGAAAAGTGTCATTGATAAAATGGGGAAAAGTTTATAAACGTTTGCCTAAATTATTCGAAGTTTTATCGAAACGTGTCAATAATTCAGTTGTAATAGTTAAGAAAAATATTTTATAATATATCAACACTTGCTGCACCATTCCCTGTGTGTCGTGTTCCGGTACGTGTCGATTTAGTTGTGTCGGGGGCTGCCAAAATATAATGCGATGATGTTGGTCCACACCACATCACTTTGCGAAATGCCTTCCGAAAGTTTTCTGATAAAAAGGCATAAAGAAACGGATTTAAGCACGAGTTTAGATAAGCTAATACGTGGCTTATTATCTGAATTGACACGGTAAGTGTGGTGGTCTCGTAAAGTCTCAGAGACTTTAAAACAAGAATTATTTGAATTGGTGCCCAGCAAATGGAAAATGCCACAACCTGCAAACAAAAAAAAAAGAAACGAAAATCGTGTTGTAGCGTGGTAAATATTTCATTACAATGAAAGATCGTGAGCTCTTGAAACGTGATTGTTGTCATCTTCAACATTCAAGAGAGCGAAGAAATTTATAATTTGCTAACTAAAAGCTGTTTTTCTTACGCGCTCCATTTGTTGAATGTTTGAGTTTATGATTCAATAAATAACAGCACAGAAAATTTCTCGACCGAACACATTTCAGAGCTATCATTTGCAGGAGGTATGAAGGCAATAAATTTCATGAGAGAATTTAACTTACCACAAAAACAACCATTCGTGTAACTCTTTTCTTGCCCTTCCTGAGGTTAGATGCGAAGAAAGAAAGAAAATGTTTATCGTTTAAATAAAATTGCTTTTATGGTATTTTAGCTCCCGCAGTTTCCCACCAAGTTGCCTTTAAATAAACAACTCAGAGGATATAACGAGGCGTGCATGGAAAATCAAGAGTCATCAGCGGTGAAATCGTAGCAATTGACTTCTAATTTATGTATGTGTTGGCGCCATTCATGACACTGAGAATTTCTAACTTACTCAATTTTATTGCTTATACTTTCAGTGCAATACTAAAGATTTTAACGCGGCTCTTATTTAATGATTTTCCTTTTCTCATATGTCATCGACTTATTTTATGACCTTGAAAGCATAAAAAGGTGAATAATATCTATACCTTGATTCCTTCGAACCTTTCCCGCCTCCTGGCTATGATTCCATCGTTCGTCAGAGAATAACGAAATGACATGAAAAAAATTGATGAGAAAAAAAAAGTTAGATAAAGATAAAATGAAACAGAATTTGTCATTGTTGTTTAACTTTTGACAACTTCACAATATATTTGAAAGTAGATTCTGAGGTATATCTCAGAGAAATGTTTCACTCAGAAGTGAGATAAGCTACGATTTATAAAAAGCTTTCATGGGGATTATTTATTAATTAAGGAACGTGTTTTCAACGATATTTTCAACCATTTAAGGTTGCTGGTAATTGTAAGAGATTCTACGTAAATCTTTTTAAGGAAGCAGCATTCAACTGTTGAAAGGGTAGAAATTTTCTCAAATCTTCAAATGTTAATGAAATTAGTATCATATTTGTATATTGTCGTTCATTAACATTTTAAAAGTGATAAGACTATAATCACTGCCTAGCACAAGGCCCAACATCATTCCATCATTGAAGTAGTTTTGGCAAACTTTGTAAACTTTAGGTTAATAACAAAGACTTAATCATGTGGTGACTAGCATTTCAGAATTCGAATGTAATGGAAAATTATTCTGGTTATTTTCGATGAAGGATATTAATTGCAATTTTTATTATTACGTCAATCAATTTACTGAAATAATAAATGATTAGAACATTTTTCTTAAATCTTTTTTGGGGAAATATCACATTTTGTTACGAAATTGACTCAAGATCCATTGACCAGATTGAATTATGCTGATATCGACATTGTGAAATTGAAAGCACAATTACTTGTTTCGTGATGTCGGAAGTGTTTTAGCATTTTCATAGTGATGTAGGAGCTTTTCATAACCAACAACATTTTACAAGTAGTAAACATTTCTGATTGTATTTGGTTAAACTGGTTAACGATTTCTTTTAACAATATCGGTCTTGGAAGTGGAATTTTTATGTAAGAAGAAAGATTTTAAATTTTTTTTTCATGACAGCATCAAAAATAAATGCAATTGAAGTAGATACATAGATGCTTTTAAGAAACTTGATCACATTTGGAATTTTGTTCTCACTTTTAATAAATTCATACCGGAAATGTTTTCATCCGCTTGTTGGCTTCACATATTTATTTGAATATAAAATTCAATTACATTCGAAACGTTTCAGAAAACTTATATAAATGAAATATCTAGGAATGCTTTAGAGGAGAGTTAGATGTCAATCTATTTTTTTTCTATCCCTGGGCAATGGAAATTGGAGAGATATAGAATATTCTATGCAAACCTGCTTCAATAATTATGAAAGATGACATTTCTAAATTGAGAGTAGTTTTTGTTAAGTTCACAGAAAACCTCAGAGCCTATGATCGATATGAAAATATTATTGGAAATATATGATGTGGAAAGCTTTCATTTGTTTACTTTTACTTTATTAAAAATATTTTTTGGTACTCTTTATTGAAATAGACTGAAACAGATGAAATAAATGAAACAAAATAATAACACTCAAAGTCAGTTCAAGCAAACTTCTGTAGAAATTGAAAACTTTTCAAAATATTAAGAACTTCGATGTTTTAATTTCAAATCGAAAAATCTTTTTCTAATGGAAGTTTGGAAAGCTCACAAAGTTTGAGGAAATTTATTTATTTATTTGCAGATCTTTTGAGCTCTCCGAACAAAACAATCAAAACAATTTTGTTTTTTATTTTCATTTTGTGGAAACCACAAAAGAGTTTTCCATTAATTTCCTTATTTCGTTTGATGTTGAAATTTGCGCAAATAAATTTTTCATGATATTATATTCAAATTTCAGAAAGCTTTCAAATCCATCAACGAAAACTTCTAGGGATTATAACTTAAATACTGAATTGTGGCGTTTTTCGCTTGACAACATAAACTTTCAAACATGAATTTTGATGTTTTCTTACCGCATTACTGCTCCAAAGTCTTGACAACATTCCGACGTAGAGGAACGATATCAATGAGAGTGGTATTACATAGGATGACAGTAGAAATGAAATCTGAAAAATGAGATTTAAATATATATACTTATATAGGTAGGTACTCATATTTAAAATACACATAATAAATATAAAGAAATGTTAACAGTAAGAAAAGCTAAGAAATTACAAATTCTTGAAGTGATTAAATATTAAAGTTCAACAAAAGAATGAAGAAAAATGATTTCAGCTTTCAAATCTCAACTGACATTTATTTAATCATAACATGAAGCATAGGAAAACATCACCGTTCAGATAGTGAACAAATGTAGCAAATATACACAGATTTTTTTCCAACATTAGAGTTTGCTAAGGTGACATGGTTATGGTTGTTGCTCAATGTATCCATTTGAGATTTCTTCTACCTACAATATTTTTCTCAGTTTTTTACGAATTATTTTCATAACGCTTTGGGAAAAAGTTAGCTTTGCTTCCTTTCATCTGCAGACATCTACAAAAGCATAAAATGCTGGAATGATTGCGTAGATTTTCCCAAGTGTGATAAAGCAACAGCAGAAAGTAAAAGGGCGATAACATTAAGAAAAAGTAATTTAGCGAGACGTTGACTTAGTTTCATTTCTTCTTATTTTCTTGCTTCTTTCAACTACATATATGTACATATTTACATTAGAACTAGGAACTTACTTGAAACAAGCTATGATTATATCCTTGTTCCACTAAAAACAAGCATGCAGTACGATTCTCGCCTTTATGCATGTACGTATCTTCACCGTGGCAAATAGCAGTTGGAATTGCAGTTGTAAAGATGAAAAACCATGCCAATAATGTGGCTCTGGAAATAAAAGAAATAAGAAATAGAAGGAAGAAATGAGAAACTTATTCAGTTTATATGCTTTCATACAATTTCAGTTTCCACTTCACTTACATTAAGGCATTACGTTCGGTCCTTATAGACATCGAAGAAATTGGATGAACGACAGCTAAAAATCGATCAAGTGACATGAGTACGAGCGTGTATACGCTACCAAGACACGTGACAACAATCATATATTGAACTATTTTGCACATTAAGTCCCCAAATGGCCTGTCAACATGAATTATTTAAATACAAATAATTTTATATTTGTTTTTCGTAATTATGTTTCATGATAAAATTGTTCAAGTCTTGCCATAAAATTTTAAAGTCATTCAATCTTTCATCAAACTCTTCCTCCTTTCTTTTTATTTTTATTCTAGGTAGTCATTTTGAGGCGGGTTCACAGTCACGTTATGAATTAGGCAAAACAAACAAACTGATGAAATATCTGATAAGTAAATAAACAATTTTTTATGTGCAGAAATGTCACAAATCAGATTTGTTGCTTTACCAAATAAACATCAAAATATTATTTCAAAAATTTCAGGACTATTTACAACATTGAATATTCCAATTTTAGTTATTGTTTAGTGACATAAACAAATTCAGAATAATAATTCTTTCTTATAAGATTTTTTATATCTCAATAAATATTAAAGAAAACTGATGGTGAGTTAACTCTACTGATATTAATGGCAGAATCATGTTAAATAACGATCTTTTAATGGATTTCAACCATAAAACTTTATGACAAGTGAAAAATCGTTAGTGAAAAATGGTTTCGACATAAACTTGAACTTACCAATTTGGCAAAATATAATCACTTGCTACAGTTTTTTATGTGTTTTATTTGACGATGTTCCAATAAAGAAAAATGTATAATATATGAAAAAAAGGAAGAAACATTAGTTTTTCTTATATGAATAATAGCAGCAACGTATGGTTTCTACGACCGACTAACCTGTGAATGGGATGCACATAATAACGAACATCAGGTCACTAATGGCTAGATTGATAATCAGGATATTGGTCGTTGAACGCATCAATGGATTAAAAGCTACCACTAATCATTGGTGAATCAATTACATGATAAGAAAAGAAAACAAAAGCATCATTAGATAAATAGATATGTTGTATGTTTTCTATTGAATTAAATGAGTCAGCTTAATGAATTGTTGACTTACCAATAACAACTAAAGCATTTCCTATCAAGCCCGCAACAAATATAAAACCAAAGAGAACAAAGACTGTCAGCGACACTATTCTTTCGAGATCCTCGTCAAACAATGGTTGTTCAAGTTCCGTTTCGTTTAACTTTGAAGGATTACATATGCTCAATTCACGAGCAGCATCCGTGAAATTATCACAAGATGGATACATAATGTGTCGTACTAAGTGTTGAGAGTGGGATCGTGACAAAAGTGGTTGTCGTAGAAATTAATTATAAAAGATTTTCTTTGAATTTCCTATGGGTGGGGCAGCAATTTGTCATCTGTTGGTTTTATATTAAGCGTGTCCCACACTTCTGTTATTCACTCTTCTCTTCTACTCCACATATCCTTCCCCATCATCATCTCTGTTGGCATTAAAAGAAGCAAAAATGTGTATATGACTGAAAGTAAAAAAGAAAGCAAAGAAATTGATGACACTTATAAATCATCACCGCTAGAGTGAAGCTAAAACTTGTAATATCCTGAATAGAGTTTGAATGAGAAAAAGGAAAATAAAGGAAGAATTAACGTTCGAACGTTATGTAGCATAATTTGCGCGACAAAGTTTTTCTGGCTTAATTATCACTTGAATTACTTTCCTCTATAAGAAGTAGAAGAAGCAATAATTAATCGGTTTCAAAGTTGCGCTTACAAGCCATTGAATGATTAATTTGTTTGTTTCGTAATTTCTTTGTCGTTCCCATGACGATAATTTTTCGTATGAAGAGGTCGTAAAAAAAAGAGAAGAGAAACACTTATCGATACGATTTACATAGAAAAAGCTTTGAATAGCTTCAACAGGAAATGAAAAGCATTCAGTTCAGGGCTCCTTCTCCTACTCACAGACATCAAATTATAATGATTCTTGGAAGGCTTAATAAAATTACTACATAGTCTATGTTCACGGAAATGTTTTCAGTTTATTTCTGTTTCGATGATTCTTCATTCTGTCGAGTGGTTGAACGATAATTGAATTTGGGTGGATTTGTATTGATTTAAAGACCTTTTCTCCTACTGCATTATAAACCGACATCAACTATTGATTTGAGAGCTCTTCGTTTTTTTTTTTCAATTTCAAAACCACTCAGAATGAACAAGGAATAATTTAAAGACGTGAAAAAACCTTCAGAGATAAATCTTAATATCTACATCTGTTTTTTTTTGTATTCGTGTTTTTCTGATTTACTTGCCTACAAAGACTACATTTGCAAAGCGTAAAATAGGCATTGAAATAGTAAAGAGATTCTTATCATTTGTTATCTTGTAGTTAGTGGTATGGAGGAAAAACCCTAAAAAATATTTTTCTCGTTTTTCAGAGGGATCTTTTTAGAGGAGTTTCCTCACGCTTTGATACAAAAGGAAAATAAATTGAATGCTCCTTCAACAATCCCATGTGATTTTGAGGGAAAGAGGCTAACATTTTCCCTGGAATGCTACGCTTTGCTGATTTATTTTTTGATTTTTTAAAGAAATAAAAAGCTTTCCATCGGACATCTTTCAATTTCTTTGATTTTAAATTTACGTTTGACCGCTCATGCGTTATAAGAAGTGAAGCCAATGAATTTATATCTTTCTGTATTAATCTTGATTCTCTAATTCTTTAAGCAGAATAAGCCTTTTTCTTCATGTTGAGGACTTATAAGAATTCTAAAGATGTCAAATGTTTTATTTGTACTATAAATGGAACGAACATTAAATTACAAATTATAATTATCTTTTCATGTTGAAACATTAGTATTTACCATCTCCGATAACTCAATGAGGTTATCCAATTCAATCTGTGAACAGTCTACGCTTCCTATCATCAATTAATTTAATGATTCAAACTTTATCTCCCAATTTTCAATGTTAACGTAACTTTTTCAACATGATTGAAACGAGCTTTTAAGTTTAATTCGAAAACACAAATGCAATACTAACCTACTAATTAATTCTATGATTTCTGATTACTTATTGCTTTGCGTATGAAAGAAAATATCTTAAAACTCCTAACATAGTTTTAAATCTGTTAGTAAATTTTAAAGATATTTTTGGATAGGGCTGAAAAAACAGAGTTTCCAAATGTCTGAAAAACCTTTTCAGTATCATATCAGTATGTCCGTATGATTTTTCTGACAGTATACAGAAATTTCCAACATAAAGATAAAATAATGCTAAGAACCTCAAGGAAGACCCGTGTCAGTATATCAGACGAATACACTGAAGCATTTCAAAACATTTCCTGAGTCTTAAAATGTAGAAATCGCTTAGAAGTTTAGAAAACCTTTCTTAATTCCTTATAAGTTCTAATCATTCTGAAGTAAATTCTTTGTGTAAAGGCAAAATAAATTTTATTTTATTTGTAGGCCTTGGGTCGTAGATTATCTAATCGTAAGCTCGTTAAAAATGAAATATGTTTTGAGGCGTTTCAGAAAACTTTTTTTTTGTTGCTTTAAAAAAAGTTAGCAAATTCTTCGTATTAGCTGATGTTAAAAGCATAAAGTCTAGAAAGTATTGAAATATTCCGCCGACAATCAACATAAATCAGTTTATGAAGAATTAGAAAAACAGGAAGAGAAAAAATACCGTCGATAAATTATAAAGTGAATCTGAAGGATTTTCTCGAAATGAATATCCCAAAAGATTTCGTCCTTCATTTAGTTCTTTGTAAATCATCAAAACAATTTTTTTAGCACAAATTATTATGAAAAGCGAACAACATTTATTTCTTTCATGTTTTTAGATGTAAAGTTTTTGAATATTTCAAAACTTTTCTTCTGTTTGGGAGACAAATTAGATAAAATTAGTCATGCGAATATTATCAAAGAAAAGAATTGGAAAATTAGGACAGAAAAGATTTGAAAGATAACGAAATTATGAATATTAACACGATGCTATTGCAGTACCCATAAAATAATCATCAGGAAAGCATCATCATCAGAAAGGGGCAATTTAAGGAAAAATGTCCTCAAATGGCGAGTAAGGAGTTTTAAAAGATTATTCTAATGTGGTCCAGCAATACCTTCTCATTTGAATATATTCAATTTCAAATACTTTCAAAGTATACAAAGTCTAAAATATGATTACTTTGCCAAGACAATTTCTGTTATAATTTTGTTAATTATCTAATATAAACGTTAATTTGAAATATCAAACAAAATGTCATGAGTTTTAAGTTATCATCTAAATGTTTTTTATATCTTGAAAATAGATTGAATCTAAAATTAGGACGAAGCGTTTAGTTGTTGAAGCTTTTTAAATGAACAAATTTCACTAAACTTTGACCTATTTGGCTTTATTCCTATTATATAAGCGACTTAGGCTAAGTCCAACAGAAATTTTAAAACAAAATTACAATGAACAGCCAAATAAAGATTATTATTCTTTCAATTAGGTATTACATACACGAGAAGATTTGTAATTTATAGAGTAGAAAGATAATTAAAAAAATATTTGCTTGACTCTCAACATGAAAAAGATCTCTATAAAATGTTGATGGTGTCAGAAGAAGCTTTGAAATTTCCGAGTAAATTATAATTGAAACGTTATCCGATGTTAACGTTCTTAAGAAACATGAAAAAGGCGTTGAAACGTTAGGAAACAAATCTTTAATTTTAAAATTTACAGACAATTTAAATTTACTCTTACCCAAAATATTCTGATGAAATCAGGGGTGAAACGCATTAAAGAAAACTTATTTATTTAATTCCAAATTTATTTATTGTTGAGCCATTAAAATTTCAACTTGAGTCTTAAACCGATTACGAAATGTTGTGCCTGTTTAAAGGGATTTGAGTTATGAAGTTTCTTAGGTAATAACAAGAGTTTATGGCTGTTTCAATGGTGTTTGGTAAAGTTTGATAATATATTTAGGTATTGAAACAGTAATGTTTTTATTTCTGAAGATAAAGTTTTTTAACATAGCATTTTCTTACTATAAAGTGAATATTGAACATAATATGGGGAAGTTGTTATAAGGATGTAAAGTTAAAGCCATAGCAAAAGTATTTAGAAATTCGAGTGCCAACTTTATGTTTATTATATTGAAATGTTTATATTAATCCTCAGCATCCACTTTCTGGCAAAACATGAACAAAATTGTAAACAAAAAGAAACACAATAAACTACTTTACGCTTAATATCTACATACTCACATAGTTGTTATGTGAAACGGAAAAAAGTTTTCACTTAGTAAGAATGTGGAATATCCACGCATGTACTAAATAAAAATATAAGATCCCTGCTATGACATACTGAATCATTAAATATTAAATTTAGTCTTCCGAGAAACGAAAAACTTTCAATTGACATAATTGTATATAAAAAAATTTCAACTTCCCACCAACACCACAAATTTTTGTGTAAATTCCCATGCCTTAAATTTGTCTCTTATAAGAAACTTTTCTATGATGACAATGTTAAACTTTGAAAACTTTAATTAATAATTCCATTAAGTTAAACACGTTACATCAAATATACGAAATGATTTAAAAGTCTTTTTCTTCTTCAAAGAAACTTGAACCTGATACTTTTTTCGTGAGGCAAGTGAGAAAGTTTTAAAAGGAAAAAATATGAAAATTATAAAGCTAACTCCTCAACCTTAGATCGTTATCGCAACTTGTTACCTTTTAAACTCTGCTCAGAGAAACATTAAATTTCATGTTATGGGAACTCCCATGTTTGCTTTTAATTATCCGGGTAATCACATATTATTATGAAATATAAATTACTGAAGTTATAAACAACGGTAATGTCAATATCTTGAACTCTTCTGATATCGTTAACATTTTCGTTCCAATATCTTTGAAAGGCTTGAATGTGTCAGTATTTTTTTTCATTGACTTTGAAATGTTTTCAAGGCTTTTAAACGTTATTTTTAATGCATCTGAAAAAGGCAAAAGAAAGTATCACAAAAAAATATTTCAATGAAGAGCGTGACGCGATTAGAATTTATAATGAACTTTTATTGATTATCACAGCAATGCGTGGAAATATATTGAGAAACGAGGATTTTTTAAGAGAAAGAGCTTTTTTAAAACGTAAGAAAAGATATTGATAAATTTTTTTTTCGCTGTGCTGCTAGGATTAGTGCCAAAAAGCTTTTAAACAATCCATTGAAAGGCGTCTGGAAGCCCATTAAACTTAATCCCACTAAATTTGCATTTATTTGAACAGATTCTTTCATTACGAACAAAAACTTTTCTGAACATTTTTTAACCGCATTTGTCAGCTGATAAGAAAATGCATTGAAAACTTTCGCTTTGATAGACTGAGAAGGGGAAAAGTCATTAAATAAATGAAAAAGTTGCTATTTTTGCTGCACATTTTTCCTCGTTAAAATGTTCTCCTCCTCTATTTAATCCCAAGTGATTTATAATCACTCATTGAAGTATAAGCTGAAAGATACCCTCGAGAGGATCCAAATGATGGAACAATGAATAATTACTCATGATTTTTCACAATTTTTGATATGTTTGTAAATTTATGACAAAATTTAAATCATTCGAAACGAGATGAAAAGGACGAAGATGGAATTTTTAAATTAAATAAATAGCAAAATATCTTAGTAGAAAAATTTATTACTGCCATTGTTAATAGATTATCTTGATTAATATTGTTAGTTCAAAAAATATTTTCATCTGTAAACAGCAAAAAAATCGAAAAATTCTTTACTGTACAACAATAAATCGTGCAATATTTCATTCTTGTATCATCTTTCGAAAGCACACAGTATTATGAAAGCAGAATAGGATAAACTTCAATATATCAAAAAGCTCTTTTTCTTTCTTTTTATTCAAGAAATATAAAACATTTATGTCTCCTTTGAGTAACTGACACCAACATAAATAAACGAGATTGTCTTTGCAGACAGACAGGTTAATAGATAAAGTGACAAGAAAATTATAAACTTAAAAATATCTTTATAAAATGTTTCGCTTCAATAAATCACAATAGTCAACAAGTCAGTCAGTCGAGTTTGAATTATTTACATGAGAAAGAATTCTTTGAATCGGAAAATTTTCATCTCCTCTTAGCGGGTTTTCGAAAGAAGAACAAATTGAAAATAAAACAAGATGACATTTGACTCCCACAGAGCAACAAAAACATAGCTTGTAATTTTATGCCGCAGCAGAAAATCAATAGATTTAACATCAGTACATATATGTACTTACATATGTTGATATTATTCTTGTTATCTGATTTAACCGAACTTTGAATATTTTCATTTTCACCTAATCGTGCTTCTTTTTTCAGACGCAACATAAAATGATAAATAATAAAATAACCAAGGCGACAATGATAATACTTGAGTCTTTTGATGTTAAAGATAAAACTGTAATTATTCTTAATTGTAATTCTGTTCGGGTCGTCCGCTGTTAATTCAAGTATACTTTACCTCCCTTTCATTACCTTTTTAATTACGATATAACATCCCAAATGCTTAAAGCTCCTTTCAATCTAACAAAAAACACTTTTGAGACCACTAAAGTAATTCTGATGAAGCAAGCAGAAAGTTAATTAATATCGTAGTTTCAGTGACGGCTTCCTTTCAAGCAAATGAATCTCTGCACTTCATTGGAGGCAGACACCAAATATTAGCTTACGAAAGATTACTTCACTGTGCTTTTTACTCATTTATTCTCTTATAATATTTTTGTTTGTTTTTTTCTAGGCTTTAAACACACCCACGTCAAACTAAACGAGCAAAAAAAAATTAATTCCCATTGCACAATTAACTTTTTACGATCTATAATGATTATTTTTATCACAATTTAGACTGCAATCATAAAAAAATCGTTTGAATATTTTATTATGAATTTTAGCGTAAGCATGAGAGAGTTTTCAAAATTTCCATCCGACTTATTGAAATGTTAAGGCGAAACTGATAAAACAACTTTCATGAATGAAAACATCGTGAAACTTAATGATGATTGTCTGATGATTTTGTCATTTATTGATAATGAATATCATTGATGACAGATTTCCACAGCGCATGCTCATTTTGAAATTTTAATGATATTCCTTTCAACAGGTGGAACACTTTTCCAGTCTTGATAAATCTCTTTCTTCATAACGAAGAGTCTATGAAGAAAAAGAGTTTTTGAGCCCTACCGCTGAACATTTCTTTCTTTCATTAACTTATTTTATAACTTGTTAATAACAGACTGGTAAATTTGATAGCTTAATAAAAAAAGAAGATATTAAGGCTATTTATCAAATTTTCATTTTCATTATACAGTCATCAATTAAAAATATATTATTAAATTAAATTCTTTGATAAGGATATCGGTTATGATATTTTGGAAAGTTATAGATCTAAATTAGCATGGAAATCATGAATGAATAACAAGCTGCTGAAATACAAAGTTTAAATTTTGCAAACTAGTAAATGTCTTAAATACTTAATCCGAAAAGTTTCAAAGCTTTCCTTTGTAAGACATGTGATGTTAAAATATGAAATATTAAATGAAAATTTCATTAACTCATATTTTATTAATACCTATTGTTTATGTAATTATGAGTAAAATGTTTCTCTCTTATGATTTTTAAAGAATATTTAATACCACAGAGTACCTGATGGTTCGTTAGTTACCTAAAAGCCCGTGATGAAAGTTCAGCATTTTATTTTTTCCAAAATATCTCTTCGATGTGAATACTTTGGTAATAAATTTGATTCTGAACCACACTCAATAAAGAAGACCCTCTCTAAAATTATTTTGACACTAATGCTGTACTTCATTGGATACCTATCTAAAGCTGCAATAAAGCCGCAGCTGCAAACTCCTGTCATTTATCGAAAGCGTGGGAATTTATTGAAGGTTTTACAATACATTAAATGTTTGTTAATGGTTACTTTGAGTATCAGAAAGTGATATTAATGTAGTTAATGGTTTTGGTGACAATAATATTTCTATGTAGAGTAAATTGTATTTAAAACATTGGGCATAACTCACATAAAAGTTTTAGGACTTTTTTTTACTTAGAACCATTTCACCGATACTTGATGATAAATTTGAAATTTTCTTCTATTTAATTACTTTTTAGTTTATCATATATACCTATTTGAATATAATTTTATTAGATTTTTATTAGATTGAAGTAAACTTCATTTATTATTAATGTACATAAGAAAACTTCTGTCGAAAAAGAGCCCAGCTCTTATATGTACTCAAATGAAATAAAATTGTTCAAATTCAAATTCAAATTCAAATTCAAATTTGCAGATTTATTAAAAGTAAAAAATTCATTTAGATATTGTTAGCTGTTGAAATTTTAATTATTAAATTAATATAATTTTTCTATTTCAAAGTTA